TGGTTATCATTTGCTGTGATATAAACATTAATATTAGAAAATATTTCTATAACATCAGAAAGATCAGATATAATATTTAAATATTCAGTTCTATCAACATCTTTAACTAAATGACTATTTCCTATTAAACATTTTCTCAATATTTTAATGTCTTTAATAACTTTAATACTTATTTTTAATAATTCATAACCATGAGATTTTAATGAGACTTCAATGTATTTAATTTTTCTTTTAGATGGATTTGTTCTAAGATAATATTTATGACTTTCATTAAAACATGGATATTTTAAATTAGTTAAATGAGTGTCATGAGGAGGAATAACAATATTTCCATTAAAACTAATATTTTCATGATTCTGAATATCTTCTTCAAATGTTGATAAGAAAGTCATCCAAATTAAATGAAGATATTCTTTATAACTTTTTCAGATTGTTTAAAAATGAATTTAATTAAATACTAGAGGTGAACTTTAAAAGATTAAGGTCGAACTTTGGAGTTGAGATTAAGAGATATGAGGTAATAAAAATAAATGACATTTAAAACAATAACTATTATTCTTAAAATAAAATGCGTTATATAAAAGAAATAATAAATGTTATATAAAATGATATTTAGAAATTTACTCTTAAACCTTAAATGATGATATTGTATATCATCAAAATGTACGATAGAAAAATAATGACATAAAAGAAAAATAAAGAGTAATAGAGTAAAAATAAAGAATCGAAAAGAATGAAATAAAATAAATGAAAAACAATGAAGAATAAATAAAGATAAAGAAAGTATTTTAATAAACATTCAAGAAATAGAAAGAATAAAAATAAAATGATTTAAATATTAAAAAGAATGATAGAAATAATAATAAATAATAATAAAGATAATAAATATAAAAGAAGAATAAACAAATATAATAAATTTGAATACATTTGAATAATTATAATTTTGAAGAAAGAATAATAATGAATAACGATATAAGAAAGATATAAAGATAGAATATCATAAATT